ACTACCAAATTACTGTCTCTCAAACCTAATCTTCATTTGGATCATCCCAATTTATCTGCCATGAAGATAAAACTTACCTGTCACGCACACTGTATCCAGGAGCCACAACAAAACTTAATAAAAACAGCAGAATAAACGTAATCGTCTTCCTATGACTTCTCTTACAGTATGCCTGAATTAACCTTGATTTTGATCCTGCCATAACAAATTTTCCCAGAAAATCTGGCTTACAACTGACACGACCGTGCCTGTCAAATAGATTTGTTTTTTGTAGCATCTACACCTATGGCCTAATTGCCTAAACAGTAGAAGCAGAAAATCATGTCTTGTCATGTCAACAACAGCCCATTTCTAAAAACCATAAACCATTCTAATTTCACAAGTAATTTAAATTCACTTGTGACATACAGCAATTTCTCTTTCAAATTAAAAGTATAAACAAAATGGGTGGGCCAGACCAGTTTAAATTGCAATCAGATAGTATGATACTCCATGGGCAAAATATTCATAAGGTTTTCCTGTTAATGGAGTCAATCTAATGTGGTCTACAAGATAACATCACAGAGAAAAAAAAGGTAACAGATATTTTGTTTTAGGTAAAAATATATAAAAATATTCTTTTATGGGTGAGAAATGTGTTGTATTCTTTGAATGGATTGACTCACACAACAGTCACTGGTATGTTTTTTGTTTTGGCTTCTGATTTGTAAAACATGCACACGCACAACACAGTTGCTGAATCACACTAAAGTTTCTATCTTTAACACTCTGTTTAAGCAGTTGTTCCACAAAGTTTGAAGAGGCTGTGAGTCAAGTCGTCATCAGAACACTCACTGCAGTCTGCCGATTGGTGTGACAAATTCCCATCTGGATGAGTTCATTAGTAATGTTTCTGAGCTGTGATTGCAAAAACTGAGCTTGTCAGATGCAGTTTGGTTTTGTGAGGCTTAAAAAAAAAAGAAAAAGAAGCAAGTAGTCACGTCTCCTGCTTTTGCCTTTTTTCTAACCATCCTTGACACTGAAGCTCTACCTGCTCACTCACTGTTAAGTTTTTCTTTTATCAGTTAAATTGGAGAAATGTATAAATAAAGTGTGATGAATGTTGTCTCCTACCTATGATAGCATCTTTGTCTCGATTTTCCAGCTCTGCGATGGGCACAAAGTCACAGTGCACTGTGGGGATGCTCTGATTGTCATCACATGGCACGATGGATGAGTGAGCGTGGAGGGTTATCTCGTAGTCGTTCTTCAGCGTGGTGTACTGTTTGTTGGCCGGCTTGAGTGTAGCCTTGGAGATGTAGTACACCTACCGAGAACATTAGATCAAAGTTGTTGACATCATAAAAATTTGACTTGAAAATCTGCAGTTTCCTGTACATTTAATGCGACTGATTGAGTGGGTCACCAATTTATTGATCGTGCAAAAGGAAATAATTATTAAAAGGCTGCTTGTGTTCAACCAAAACCTAATAAGAGTTGAAAACCTTCAGGTCCAACTAAAATGTGGTGTCATATCAGCCCCATCAGTCCTCTAATTCACCAGAAAATGAGAAGCAGCTGAGAGCGAGGCTGCTAAACAGCATAATTTAAACTCAATCTGCGAGGCTCACTTCTTCATTTACTCTCCCAAGTCTCCGATATCCCCCCTCTCTTTCCGCCTCCCAGTTTGTCTCTGTGACTCTCTTCTTTTTCCTTCATTCTTCCCTCTCTGATTTGCCCCACACAGAGATGGGAGCATGAAACCAATGTGATAAGCATTCTGGCTGCTCAGAGCCAGTCACACCCACTCACTGCTCTGTCAATACCCAGATCACGAAGAGACGATGGATTCGTTCCTTTATCTTTGGAGGGCAGAGGACACAAATTGGATATGAGCCTGTGTTGGGAGTCACTGCCAGTGGCTGATACCTGAGCCAATGTGACTACCAAAATGATAGCGAGGGTTAATTGAGTTATTAAGCTCTGTGGGCGGGACTAAAATACGCAAGCACTTTACCATGTGTTCTACCTGTCAGGTAATCGGACACGTAGATAAGACAGGAACAGGTGGCTGAGATGATTTCGACTGGTGTTTACTTAATCTTTCTAGAAAATAAATATTGTCAGTGATTATAGAAAGAAGGAATCTATGTGCAGCAGATTTATTTTTACTTGATTAAAAATGTACTCAGTTCTTTGACGTTTCTTCTAAAAAACAAAAAATTAAATTATATTTATATTACTTGCCAAAATGATTTGTATTCTTGAGACAGAATGAATGTCTTCAATTATTTTTTTTACCCACAAAACATTTACAGGGCTGACATTTTTCTTTTTTGAAAGCGCAAAAATGTTTCCTTCTGTATTAAGTAGTGGGTTAAACAGAATTTTGTTGCAGATAAAATTCTTGGTGACTCCTTTGTTCTGTAACGTACACTGAACGTAATAAATCAAACACACGCAAACGGAGGAGGTAACATCACATTTGCAGGGTGGTGATACAATGAATATAATATATACATGGAAATAAAAAGAATTAGGATTTATAATATGCTACGATCATTATAGAAAGATTTATCATTACAATGCAGCAGACACGTTTAACAGGACAAGGAAATCATTCACAGGTGGAGATAAACATCAAAATATCCAAAAATTGGTACACAGATTCCTATAAGTGCTTTTTTGATAAAGCCCATTGGTTATTTGAAAACTCAAGATGGTAGACAATTTCATGTTAGCTGTCAAAAAAGGCAAGAAAATATAATAATTTTCCAAAGTAAACTAGAAATCCAAGAATGTGTCACGGTTCTGGGTCATGTTGACCCAGCTTTCTGTTTCTCATGTTTTGCTGTTTTTTTAGATTATGATTTATGATTTGATTAATCAGTGATACTGTTTTGATTATGATTATTATTTAGTAGGTTTTGGTCAGTGTCAAGTCTGTCTCTCTCTGTCTAGTCCGTGTCTTAGTAAAGTGTGTTTTGCTTCCTGTTTTATTTTGAAGGTTCTTGTTCCTGTCTGATGTCAGTGTTCCAGCTTTGCTCTCCCTGTCTCGTTAGGCCTTATTCCTCCCAGCTGTGTTCCCCTTCTGTCTCTAATTCCTTGATGACTCCCTCAGTGTATTTAAGCCCAGTGTGTCTTTGTGTCAGTGTCGCGTCGTTAACGTCTTCTACGCTCATGTTAATTGTGTGTTCTGTCTGCTCGCCTGCCTGCCTAGCTAGTTCTGTTTTTGTATTCCCAGTTTAGTGAGGTTCCTGTTCTGTTGCTATCAGCAATAAACTGAGTCTTTTGAGTTTATGTCTGCCTCCGAGTCCTGCATTTTGGGTCCTTTCTCTCCGTCTGCCTGCACACGGCCATGACAGAATGATCTTGATGTCAAATCATACACAACTGAACACATAAAAGTCAACTATAGAAGGCTGAAATTACTCAGAATTGTTTTTTTTTTGTTTGTTTGTTTTTTAATTTGCAAATATGGGTGTAGTAATAAACATCTCCTGCATGGACCTTTACACTCCTCACTGGTTACTCAATTCTCACCTACTACTAGGGCTGTTCGATATAACGATATATATCGGATGACGATATAAAAACGTCTATCGTTTCATTTTACGCTATTGTTTATTTCGTGGTGTCGCAAAATAAACTGTTTTCGGCAATATTTTTTCATAGCTTTGATGGTCACAGTAGTAGCTATATTAATTTCTTAAAGTTCTCTCTTTCTCTTATATTTAATATAACCACACTACAGATGGAGAAGCGCCTGTTTTTATGCAATGTGGTTAGCAAAAACGACAGTAACAGTATCACGTGTCCGCTTGTTTATTTTCCACAAACCTTTCACAATAAAGCTCAAGATC